AATGAAGGTCATTTAACGATTTGTTGACAAGCCATTTACAGAGGGATAGTCCCACTATTAGCAACAATTTTGCAAGAAATGCACCTTGTCGAGCGCTTGCTGTACAGCATGCTCACTTTCTGTGTCTAGTGCACTGGTCGCCTCATCTAGAAGCAAAATTTGAGGGTTTCTGACGAGAGCTCTAGCGATAGCAATTCGTTGCTTCTGACCGCCTGACAGCTGCACAGCACCTTCACCGATCACAGTGTTGAATCCCTAAAACTTCCCAATTTGAGCGTTCACGAACGAATCAATAAATTTACAAAGACCTTATTGATTGCACTTTATTGAACATCTGAAAATGATCCGAACATGCCTCACCTCACTGAGCTTTCTGATGAACACTAAAGCGTTCGCAAGTTCGCAAGCCTCCTCAACATCTGCATCTGACAGGCTATCATCTCCCATCCTGAAATATGCTTTATTAAAAAAAGTTGAAGAAATATCACTGCGCAAGTGACCAGAAGGGAAATTTCATAATAGAAATAATAGCTGAGCGCAAATGAATCCGGGAGCAGGGGATCTCCATTACCACTGCCAGGTCTTCCACAGTGACCTTTCGTGAACTGAAGAGGTTAAACACACAGATTCGGGGTATTTTCTGATTTTCTCGATCTTGGTTTTTTTTTCAAAACCGTGAGTGTTCCATGGACTGCAACGGTCAACATTCAAATGAGGCAGTGTTAGGACTCAGCACGAAAAAAAAGAAATCTCCTCCCCCCAGTTCACCAGTTTTCTGCCAAACAATCTCTGCGACGTGTGGCTTAATACTGTGGTGGAGGCTGCCTTTGTCACATCCCTTACCGATTACTTTCGTTAGTATAGACATGAGTAGGTATCAACCGCTCCCGCCTGCTTAGGCCATGGATTCTACCATCAGTAGAACAAATTCTTTGTATCGTGGGGTTGACTGGTGATTGCAGAAGGTTTCGAATCGCTCTTGCAGCAAAACGCGTTATTGCAATGACAGTTCAGGGATCTCAACAACTGTCGCTACAGTATTGACCGTGGGCGCGTAGAAGGTGATCATATCGCACACTTTTCTTCTCTCAAAATGAGAGCCAATCGCTTTGTACCCTCGTCATCCGGGCAGTTGATTAGGGCGGTCGTCAACGGGCCGCAGACGCGGCTGCAGCAGCGACCGCGTGCGTAGGAACTATTTGCTTTTTCCGGCCTAATTTAGTCATTTCTGTTTTTCAGTTTTCACGTTTTTGGCTGCTTTTTCTAAGATTACCGAGTTTCCTTAGTCTTCACAAGAGTAAATTGTAATTGGAATTTTTATAACATTTCAAGGCAATCACAACGAATTAAACAAACAATGCAGACAAACGCTCGTGAAAAAATCGCGAAAAGATCAATCATTACGAGAGAAAAAGAAAAAAAAGTCTCACGCAAGTTATAACTTCACATGGAATAACGTGGATAACTACTTGCGAAAAAATAGGAAATACAGTGAAAATTAGGGAGGAATTTGCTAAATTAGGGTGAAACAGCTGATCGCCGCGGTCGTAACGCGCTGCAGCCGCGTCGCGACTCACTGCGGTTCGGCTGATCACTGCGTCGGAATGACGAAGATAGCATACATGCCTTGCAGAGTATAGCATTTTGTGGTGACTGAATGACCAGGGAGAACGAACCCCTTTGACGTGACAGAGCGATTTTACTTGGTAGGTGGGATTTCTCTACCGATTCCCTACTTACCGAACATTTTCAGCGACAGTAGCACGAAATATTACTGGTTCCTGCTGAACGACGCCGATCACTCCACGCCACCATCTCAGATTGTACTCTCGCAGTGGAATACCGTCAAGAGCCACCTATAACATCGAGAACTGTGTAATGGAGAACCAAACGAAAAAAACTTCTTTCATTATTATAACTTCTGCTTGACGCTGTGTTCGCGCTTTAGAAGTTTTCACAAAAATGCAGAAATGACCATGTCTTGAAATAGGCGGGGTTGGAACCATAAACTCACGATTATCGGACAGTGTGCTTTAGTTTCGTAATCGATCGAAACTAATTAGAGTTCGAGGAAACGCATGCCCTTCCAAACAGATGAGCTTCAAAGGTGAATTTCGCACTGACAAAATGGCAGATAACCAGCTCACTAGCGTCTCCCTTCTCTTCACTTCTATAGAGGGGATGGGGACAGCAATTGCAAACAGGGTATAGTATCGTGATGTGTGAAATGGTACATAGTTTAGGTGCGACTCCTTCTCTCCGAGAGAGGATGTCAGTACGACCTTCCCAGCTGGATGAGGGTCTAGGTACGACCCTCCTCCCCTTGCCCCAACACCTACTTATCAATTTCCCACATTTCCCAGTTTTTACCCGACAATTTTCCGTCGAGCGGAGGGGGCGAGGGGGAAGGAGAGGGGGGGGTACACATGAAACGGACAACACGCGAATAGTCAACAACAGGGAAAAATTCTCCCAACGCAGCAAATTTCTCAAGCGCGCATACGACCCCCTGCGACCAAATACGACCTCCCCCAGCGAAGAAGTACGTCCCCCCTATGTATTTCACACAACGATGCTGTACCCTGATTGCAAAAGCATAGTCTCACAGTGTCCCGTCCGCCTCGCTATCGCGAAATGTACCTTCAAGCGGTGCAGCTGAAAGTCACTTCATCTTGCCTCTACGCAGTGAAAGCAAGCCGATACTCTAGACCACCATCCTTCTATTTCAGCCCATCTCCTTCGTCGTCAATTGACCCATACCTAATTGTTACCAATAGCAATAAACGATGCAAAAAAACTTCCGCTGGAATTTGCATACAGCGGTACCGGCTCAACTTTTGCGAACTTTGTGGAGCGAAATGTGGCAAGGCATCCGTCCGCTCGATCAACCTTCCCACTTTTAATGTTAGCCCTCATCTGCATACGTCGCGTTTCGTTACCTGGCTTCGATTTACCACTAACTACGCACATAGGAACAATACAGGGCCGTTTCCAACCATTTTTTGAAACTTTGAGTTTTTAGTAGAATTTCCGACACGAACCACACCCGCAGTCTGCTCATAGTAACGAAGAAGCAAACCGATTGTAGTCGACTTTCCACATCCAGAGTGCCCAACCAATGCCACCGTCTCGCCAGGGTTCACCTAAAAGTTTTTCAGGAGCCACTGAAGTTGTTTCATAGCCCATGCCCTTACATACTTCATAGTTCACACCGTCAAGCACTTTCACAGTCGGTCGTGACGGGTAGCTAAAATGAACATTATTGAACGATATACGTCCTACAAATTCTTCCGGTGTGAGACCATCATCACTCATCGGGTCGATATCTGGCACCTGAAATAGATACCGAGGATCTCGTCAGCAAAGCTGCCATATGCTGCAATTCACAATGCGAACGCCTACCCTGTCTATGATGGCAAAAATGTCGGT